AAATCCAAAGAGGATTTTCATTTTTATATAACAAAACGTGAAAAGCAAAAACAGCACCCAGTTTTAGTTTGCAGGGAGCCGTTAACAGAGGCAGCGTGCACCCCGCCGAGCAGCGAGAGTGGCCCGGCCAAGCTCCTTTCCCAGGACTCCGCTCAGCCCCTCAGCATCCAGCTGCCACAGCTTTGAACTGTCTGTGAGCATCTCTGCTTTATCTCGATTTATTCTGTGTATCCATTAGCAAGATGTGTCCTATGGTATCAGAAAAGCCTAAGAGAGGTTGTATTTGGGGTCTGGGAATGCTCGAAAATTTTCCATCTAAATTCCTGGTAATTGCTTCTTGATTTTTCACCATTTCGGCTTCTGAAAGGATTCATAGGAAAGCTGTACTTTCAGGTAGTGGGGGAAACCTATGCATGCATAATGGAACCATATATGCCCATGGTTATCCCCATGACCTTGGATTCTAAGCCTATACTTAATTTCAACAGCTTACAGAAAAAAAATTAATATTAAATTTGTAGGTGTGCAGCAAAGGTTTGGAAGTCGATTTAGAGGGGGTGATTTTGCTTTTTAACTGCTTCCAAGTTGCTAAACTATGGATAATATGCTGAAGAGACCTGATTTTCTGCATGACCAAAAATCCAGAGTTGGCAAGTTCATCCTTACCCCAAGCAGTTTTGCTTGAATCCGTACCTGGAAAAACTAGGCTAATTCCTGTTTACATACTCCTTTCAAGCAGGGCAGGAGCAACATTTGAGAGGGATTAACAATCAAAAATTGAAAATCTACCATCACTACACAAGCTTGCCTTTTCATTTTGGACAGATCATAAAACGCGTAACATGGGCCAGACCCTAGTCCAGCAGCCATTCGAATCCTAATTTTTAAAAATAGCTTTTATATGCAACTGCTCTCTTTTCAATAAAACAAAGATTTGTTTATAGCTACAATTTAATTAAGAGCCTTTTCAAAGAGGAAGATCTGGAAACCAGGGATCTTATTTTTTTTCTCTGTTTTTTTTCCACCAGAGTTGTTTGTTTATTGGTTTAATTTTCCCTGAAGTAAAAATACACTTTGAAATGTAACATGTCATTATGTAATTTGTAGTAACAAAGTGCAGGCCCTCGCACAAGACAGCAAACAGGACCGCTCCAGTTCACAGACAGTCCCCACATCCAGTCCCCCCTCCCCATCTGATGAACAGCCTGTGTAAACATTCAGCCAACCAGAACCCTGGCCAGTGCAAAATCTGGTCAGCCATAAAACTGCCAGCCAAACTCAGACATGGGGGGTTTATGCAGAAATCTTAATTTGGGGGAAATGATCAAAACTAAGATGGCATGGTCCCAAAGGAGATAGGGAAGGGCTGACCTTTATTTCCCTGAGCCAGAGAGGGATGATATCACCACTGGGGTGAAATGTTGAAGAAAATGCCCCTGAGATGCGGGGTTGTGGTTGTGGAGGGAGTGGAGTCAGAAGCTCAACCTCTTTAAGGAAAATCTCGGAGGAAAAAAAAAAATAAGCTTCTGTTTTAAGGAGAAACTTTAAATTGTCGGAGTTGTTTTGAAAGGGTCCTATTTTGACATATCCAGGATGGACTCCCTCAGTCAGCATGCTTTCTGGTGGTGCAGAGAAAAAGAATAGGTGTTCTGATTGTGTAGAAATTAATGGAATTGATATACAAAGGGGTGTTTTGTGAGCTTTTTTTTTTCCTTCCCACAAATCTCATTGCTCTTGGCAAAAGACTTCAGACCCTTCACATAATGGAAAATTCAAAATGTTCATAGTAAAAAAAAAGTAAGAAACATATAGATTTTATTTTTTTTAAGAATACTCTCTCAGGATGGCTAGCATTTTTTTCTTGCTTAGGGCAGTATTTCATAGCTCATTTTGGAGGCTACCCAACACCTAATTTTTAACAAAATTGAGTTTTTTAATTCACCTTTAAAAAAATACACTGGTGGTAATGGCACTGATGGAATTATCTATGACAAAGGTACGTTGCATTAGTCTGGTTCCTTGCCTTGAATGGCTCTTGGGTTCCTGGTTACGATAGAGAACTGGCCTTCCCTGAAATTCCCTACTATTCTCACCTTTTGCTCTAGTCTTGCTCCTTAACTTTGAATTTCCATTTTTCTTGAGAAACAAGTATGATCAGCCATTTTATGATGCTCTCTAGGATTGTCTGCATCTTCTTTGGTATATATATGCCACGATTTCCCGGGGCAGTAAGCGAGGCGGCCTGGGGAATTGAAGGGGCACTAGATTCAGAGTTTCAAAACCACGATTCCTTTACAAGCCCAACCACAGATGAATCGTACCTTGGAAATGTTTCCTCACATCTCTAAGTCTCTGTTTCCTCATCTGTGAAAAGGAGAAAACTTTGCGCAACTTATATGAAACAACATTTGGTGATGCTTCACAGAAGGCTGTCAGCTTTTGCCGTCTCCCTCCCACCCTCATCAGCTTACGTCAGCTCGTGAGAGGCTCTCATCTCTAACTCCGCTAAACAACTTCCAAAATTCCATTCCCAGGGTGTAGCTTGATGGAAAGAGTTTCCTATCCTAAGGAAAAGAGTTTCAACGGAAATGTTTTGTTACATTTTTGTTAAACTCATGGCCTCACACTGAATTGCATGCACTCAGCCTCAGAAAAACAAGTTGGGACTTCCATTCCAAGTGAGTTGAGAGGAGGCAGTTCTGCCTTCACTCCAAAAACCAGCAAGATAATTTCTAACATTCAAGAATCAGGAATGCATACGGTCCCTGCATGGGGGGGCAACAGTTTTGTCACGAGGTAAAAGAGAGCAGAGATGCTAAAGAAGCCTCCTCTCTGATGGAACGTTCACCAACTTGTGGTTGTTGGACCTTCTCTGGCCCAGGCTGCCTTCCACCAATTCTTTCGTTGTTGGAGTGAGGGCAAGTAAGGATAAACTACAAAGCAGAAGACTTCAGAGAGTTACACAAAACACTCTCCCAATTCTGTGAGTTATTGAACTTGAATCTACCTTGAAAACCACAATAGATTTCCATCTTCTTGGGATGACAGAAAGCAAGAGGATATTCTAAATGACCTTTTCCGTCTTACACATCTCTTTCAAAACATTTCAGTTTTCCCCACATCATCCCACCCATCACCTCCAGCTACCCTGTGAGCACTTTGTGCAGAGTCGAACCTCAGATGCTCCCAATGATAAATTAGTTGTCAATACACCGACAAGTCACTTTTTCCGAAGCCTCCTGGAGGAGAAGCATATTCTACTTCCTCTCAAAGGCCCTGGAGCTACCTGCACATTAGCATGCATGGGAGAAAATTTTTATTCACATATTCAAGCTGCATTAATCTGTCGAAAGGAGGATGGATTCTTAAATGGAGTTTTAAATAATCCTCCCCTTTGAGATCATCTGCGCTCACAGCCCAGTATTTGTTTTTTTTTTTTTTTTTTTTTTTACAGCCCAGTATTTGTACAAGATGAAATGATTTACAGGATCGGGCCTGGAAAACTTGGAGGGCAACTCCAAAAGGCAAGAGCATGTTGCAGTAGATCATTCATCCTGCCAGGGAAACTTTTATAATCTCCAAACTGCTCTGAGACACTGCTGTCTATCCAGGGCAGAGGACTCATCAAAAAGGCGGGAGGTCTGTTGGCTACGCAGCCAGCGTGGAGAGCCGGAGGTTTTGGCAGGGCACTTCCACCCCAAAAGCAGACAGAGTCCTGGAAGCACGCTCGCATAAACAAAGCAGGGAGACAGCTTCAGCTCTGCAGTGAGGCTCACCCTTTCCCAGATCAAAGCCTGTGCCAGAGAGACAGCTCCGTGGAACACGGTGTCCTTTCTGGAACATCCAACTCCGGGGGAAGAGTCTTGAACTGGAGCCACCACCTTGCCACCTGTAGCCAATGGCTTAGTGTGCAAAGGCTCTCCCAGGGTGGGGAGACTGCTCAAACAGCAGAAAATCAATGAAAAGATAAGACAACACAAGGGAGAGAAGTTTCTACCTCCAGCTGTCACAAGCTCAGATCAGCTAGTTTGTGCAAAAATTGCATCCAGCCAAGCCTCTCTATGGAGTGTAGAAAGAGGATGAAAATCAGTACAGGGTCATGGTTAAGAACACAAGTTCCAGGGGCGCCTGGGTGGCTCAGTCAGTTGAGCGACTGATTCTTGGTTTCGGCTCATGTCATGATCTCGGGGTCGTGAGATCGAGCCCCATGTTGGGCTCTCCACGCTCAGCAGGGAGTCTGCTTGTCCCTCTCCTTCTGCTCCACCGCCCCCCACCGCTGCTCTCTCATAAATAAATAAAATCCCCCCCAAAAAGAACACAAGTTCCAAAACCCAAGTTGTTTGCCTTTGGCGCTCTGTTCTGCCACTTGCTAGGTGCATGAGCTTGAGCCCACCACTGCACTTCTCTCTGCCTTCATTTCCTCACCTGCAAAATGGACCTAATAACACCTACTCCATAGGATTTAATGAGTGATTGGCCCATAAGAAAGCTCTAAAAAGGTTGCCATTATTAATTGAAGTAACATAGTCCTGGTTTTAAACAGGTTCTGCTACTTAGTAGTTTTGTGAACTTGGAGAAATTACACAATTTGGGAGCAACTCACTCATCTGTAAAATGGATTTTAATACACCCTGGCACTGTTGCCATGGGATTTGGTTTTATCTGGCACACAGTAGGCATTCAGTAAGTGGAACCTCTGATTATTACCATTTTCCCCGTTTTCCAAAGGAGGTAGCCCACAGGTTTCGTTGGACTGGAAGAAAAACAGCCAGTAAAACTTAGAATCCTCTTATAGTCCCAAAGCTTCACCCATATGCAAAAGAGAGACATCCCTGGGGATGACTGGGTCCTGAGTGTTTTTAATACACACCTAATTTTATTTTAAGAGAGAAAAAGGAACCTGGAAGTGTTCCCAAATTTAACATCTGCACGCGGCGGGGATGACGAAATGCATTAGTACCGAAGAATAACGTTCTCCCATCTTCTCGGAAAACATCTGGGGTATTAGCCTCCCCTCCGCTCATCCCCCCCACCTCCCAACACAAAGCTGGCTCTCGGCTGACAGTTTATCAGAGATAAATGGAAACACCTGGGAGCCAGATAAGGCCAACTGAGTGTGATCAGCTGAGGAGCCCTTAGGGACGCATGCCACTCTGTATTTCTTTTTCCACACAAGGCAGGGTGGGAGCACGATCTAGCCCGTGACCGATGGCAAGGCTCACTTTCACATTCATCCTTTCCTTCATTCATTCCAAACAACCTCAAGAGGTCAGCCGGCCCAGCTTCCTGCCCGAGGTAGGTCAACACTGAAACCACCAGGTAAGTTAGATGTTTATTGATCCTGCTTTTCACCATTTCTGCCAAAAGACATTCAGGAGCTAACTCTGCGTTTTGTTCAAATCTTTGACCACCTTTCCTTTTGTCAAACCAAGCCCTTTTTGGCTAAATCTTCCTGTCCCTACAGAGACGTGCAACCTCATATAATCTCTTGTTCCCTGTGGTCATTCAAACAAATATTTTTGTTGCCATCTCTACCTTCCCAAACTTGAGAAATTTTAAATCTCCTTTTCTTCCCCTGTCTCTACGTTATGCTAGACTAAACAGTCCCTCTCCCCTCTAACTTTTCTTCAGAGGTCCTACTTGCCTCCCCTTTAATTAGCTGATTCCTTCTCTGTCAACTCATTCCAGCTTCTACACATCATGTAGAGGCTGAAACTGGACACAGAACTCTAATACTTGACAACAGATCCAGCTGCTATTAAAGTGAGATTATTCCAGTGTGTGTTTTAGCACAGCCCTGCCTGAATATATGATCCCTAAGCAAGTTGCATAACATTTTTGGGCCTCAATTTCTTTAGTTGTGAAGTTGTTTCAATCATAAAGAACAAGGACTGTGAACATGGCATTAGGGAGACAAACCAGCAGGCAGTAGAGACTTTCTAAAAGAACTGAATTCAGAAAGACACATAAGGGTTAACTAGGTAAAGAAGGAAAAGAGAAGAAAGCAATCCTACCAGAGGCAACTACATGTGCAAATGTCCTGAGGCCCCAACTCCTATGAACCAGGATGACCAGATCCCAGAAAACAGGGAAGCAGGTCGCAAAATGAGGAAATGAAGGTAAAGGAGGTAGGTGCCAGGTGACATAGGGCCTTATTAGCTATGATAAGGATTTTAGTCTCTCTCCTAAAGGCACTGGGAAGATGAGATACTTGTAAACAGCACATTTTGTACAATTTCCAAGAATAGTGGCTACAGAATGGATTGAACACAGAGCAGACATGGTGAGAATAGAAGACTCTGGAGGTAATCTAGGTGTGGAAGTGTGAGAAATTGGACCATGGTGGCAGTGTGAAGATAGAGAGGCATGAACAGATTTGGAAATGAGGATCCACAACCCTTACTGATGCAGAGGATATGGCAATGAGGGAGAAGGGGGTGTCAAGGACGGCTACCAAGTGCCTGCTTGCTCATCTTTGGATGGCGGTGCTGTTTATTGAGAGCAGGAATGTTAGGGGAGGTACAGGTTTGAGGGAGAAGGTCTGAGTTCAGTTTTCGGCCATGTGGAGTTTGAAATGCTGTGAGATGGCCAAGTCAAGATGTTGAATAGGCAAATGGATTTATGGCTGGGAGCTCTGGGGAAAGCCTAGACTGGAGATGTAGATTTAAGATTCATCAGCATATAGATAATAATTAAAACCATAAGCATGGATGAGCTCACAGACAGAGGGTGTAGGATGGGAAGAACAGGGCAGTGGATCAAGCCTTGAAATTTTCCAATACTTAAGAGTCAGTAAAATGGAAGATGAGCCAGGAAAAAGACAGAGGAGAATCCCCAGAGATAGGAGAAAATTAGGAGAGTGTTAGGTCATGGAACCCAAAAGAAGAGGGTATTTTGAGAAGAAGGGAATATCAACAGCGAGGCTGTTACATTTCCTCGTCTTTAATGACCTAATCCAGGTGACACTGCCATCAAACTTTAATGAATGTGTGCAGTGCTGGGTTTTTCCCACTTGGAATTTTGCCATTTTTCCTAGGCACACAGTGGTTTCTTGTTGGGTGTTGTGACCAAACTTTCTATCCAATGGGATTAGTACAGAACACTGGTTACCTCTCATTTATCCAGAGGCTTCTGCTATCCAGACTGCGATCAAGAATTAGGGAGAAAAAAAACCTGAAAAACTTTATGATTGTTATTACTAAAATCTCGCCATGACTATTTGTGCATTTACTAAGAGGAGCCCTTATTTAGCTTTCACTCAGAACCTTTATTTTAGAAGTTCTGAAAAAGTTGGCATTTGGTTTCTCACAGCACAGTGAAATGGAAAGAACCTTGTGGGGAGGGGCTCGGGTGGAGGAGGACAGGAAGCTCACAGAGGCAGTCAGCGGCCCTAGGAAGTAGATTCAAGTGTACAAAAGGCCAGCAAAAGAACAAACCATTAGAGCAATCTGAGTTCAGGTAGTGAGGCATAAATACACCCTCCTCTCAGTAAGGCTTGGGAAAGTATCACACTCTAATGCCTGATAATAACAGAGCAATCAAATAAATTTTAAATAAATGTTTGCTACATCAAAATAGAAATTTAAAAAAGCCTATCAGGTGGTTTTCCATATTCTTCTGTCCCTTTGTATTTGCTATAAACTGGTAGTTAGAGCTGGCAGCTCAATGGGATTCCAGTTGGATCTTGTGGTAAGCATTCGTCATAGGAGGTGATGTGAACCTCAGGTTATTCTGACATGTTAGGACTGGCCCGTGGAGTCCGGTATCGTCAATCGTCATGTCCATTTTGAAGTTCCTGTTGACCGATCATCTACTGGTTTTGCAATTATCATTGCCTAGATTTATTTTTTCATTCAGAGTAGAAAAATCTAGAATGTGGCAAGCTCTACAACACCAAGCACCTAGTTTCTTCAACAAACAAATTGCAAAGAGAAAAGGGGCAAAGGGAAGTCACAGATTAAAAGAGGCACAAACCCCAAATGCAATGTGAAGGCTTTGTCCCGCTTATTAGTAAACAAAAATTTATGAGTCAACTGGGGGCATTTTAACACTGACCAGAAATGTGATCTTATAAGAAACTGTTACTTTCAGGCTTGATAACAACGTTGTAATGACACAGTTTAAGAAGCTGCTATTTATCGAGATAGTACTGAAGTATCTATTGATGTAATGATACGATGTCTGGTGTTGGCTTCAGAATAATCCAGGGGATGGGGCACCGGGCCCTGGAGGTGCCGGCCAGCGGGCCTGTGGAGGAATGAGATGAGCAGGCCCGAGAGTGGTTGGAGCTGGAGGATGGGAACCCGGGGTTCGTGGGCCCTGCTCTCTGCTCTCTATAAATGTTGGAAATGTTCCTTTTAAAAAGCTTAAAAATAGAAGAAAAAAAAAGTCATTTCCTTTTCACCTCGTTATTTTGGAAGACAAGATTTCTAAAATGCCTTCTTCAGCAGGGCGGATGAAACAGATAATTTGGAGCATCTGCAGAGACGTGCCTGGGGCCGTGGGGGTGACCCTGCTGTTCCCTCCTTAAGGAAACACCAAAGCGAAGCCAGCCGCAGGGAAGAAATCATTCCGCACCCACACCGTGACAGGTCAGAAAGCTTCGCTCAGAAACTCTTTCTAATCCAAGACACTCCCAGACCTCAGTTCTCACAGCAAAAGCCTGTGGCCCATGGCAGTCGGACTCAGCAGGGTGGCTGAACGGAGGGCTCGGGGCCTCAGTGGCCCATGTCTGAGGTCCGCTTCTCTTCCCTTCCTCCCTCCTCTGCCCCAGAGACGTCACCATTTGTTGGCTAACTCAGTGGTAGCCACGAGGTTGGGGGGAAGCTGGTGGCTGGGGGTGACCAGCTCAGGGGCCACCCAGGATCCATTTGAGGCATTTACCGCACCCCCCTCCCCGCCTGTGTTTTCACTTACATTGTTGCCCGAGTTCCAGAAGCCCACCACCCACCGAAATCCTACTCATCTTTTAAGAACCATTTTAGATGCCGCCAGACTCACAGATCTTTGCCCAGCCTGCTCATCGACGCTAAGGGACCCTGCCTCTAATTCCCCCGCCACACACACACACACACACACACACACACCCAGCTTTTTGCTTGTAGACCTTACAGGGTCTGTTTAAGTATCTAGAGCCCTGACTAGGTGGCCAGCCTCCCGAGGGCGGGAATGTGTGTCCTCCACCTGCGCATCCGGCGTCCCCGAGTCCCGCCCGGTCCCCCGCCCTCCCCTCCTGTGCAGCGTGGCCACGGAACAGACGAGCTCACCCCTGGCCTTGCAACCTCCTCCCGCGCCTGCCCCTAACTTCCCATCCCCTCCGCCTCCTTCCCGCTCCGGCCCCTTTTCCTTACTCCCCCCTCCCCACGCTGCCCCTCTCTTCCCGTCAGAGATCGGTGAAGAGGAGGCTCGATTCCTCACGCGGGCCGGCCGTTCGCGTGGCGACTGCAGGACTGGGGGAGCGATCTCGGCCCGACCCAGGAGTCCTCGAGCTCCCGCCGCCTCCCGGCCCATCCCAGCCTTCTGGATCAACAACCCCCTCTTTCAGTCAATAGGAGCTTTGTGAGCTGAGCCGCAGATGCCACAGGGCCTAGAAGGCGAATAACTGTGGTTATTCAACGTTCTGTCGCCCTGTGTGGGATTCAGGAAATCAATGACGGTTGCCCCGGCAACCAGGACACAACTTCCGGCCGGGTGCACAGGCCTTGCTGTCGGCCGCACGCGGGGTTGCCCCCGACCCCCTCGCGCGGAGACAACGCGATCTGGCCGCCTGCTCGCTGTTGGAAACCGAACGGCGGCCTCCTAAAGCCGCGCTTCCAGATTTAAAGCTGTTTTCCAGCAACTGGTTGTAAAGGCTTAAAAAAAAAAAAAGGCGCTAACATAATCTCAGATGCATTTAAGTGTGGGGTGATTCAGCAAGACGGACACAACTTCAGAATCTGGAGACACGGAAAGGCAGAGCAGGACCTTCTTAGAATGAGAGTGGTCAGGATCAGCCCTGCCTCCTGCCTGCTCTCTCCGATGTCCCTAAAGAGAGACCAGTGCCACCGTGCCTGGGAGCAGGGATTCTGCTCACAGCAAAAGCCTGTGGCCCATGGCAGTAAGGAGGGAGCAGGGATTCACCGTGCCTGGGACAGGAGGCTGACCAGTCTACTGTCTAAGTGGCTATGGGAGCTGAGGCAAGGTTACCTCTTCCGTGCCTCAACCTCCTCATCCGTGAAATGGGGATGTGGCGTTGGTAGACTATAGGGTTATTCAGTTCATTTGGCTTTGGAGCAGAGAGTATTACTGGACCTCTTGGCAGGATTTACTGAGGACAGCACTTAGCTATTTTTCATGACCCACTTGTAATTCTGTGCCTGAGCCAAGATCAGAATTGGGACATGTTACATACGCACTACCTTGAGTTAGTTCTTTTTTTTATTTTCTTAGCAAACCGTATTTCTTTTTCCACTCCTCGTTCCTCCATGAACTCTAATTAAGCCCTCGCCCATCTAGAGAGCAAGACAAGGGTGAGGTTTTGTTTTTGAAAAGACTCACAAGCTTGTATGGCAGCAGGTTTTTCCACAGTTTGACAGCTTCAGTTCAGCTCGGTGTGGCTGATTTATAAGACACTGAGCTCATTGGCTTTATCCTCTGTTCTCCCCCAGCCATTTTTCAATCGAGTTGCCCTGGCTGGAAACATCTGAGAAAGAAATTTACTGAGAGATGCACAAACAGCCTATTCACATTTCATAATTTTCGGGAACCTTCCCTGGAGGACCCGGGGGAGCCTATTAATGCAAGCACAACCCCTGGCCCGTGTCCCTGCACCCCGTCACCCCACTCACTGGTCCCAGACAATAGCCGGGTCCCCTCCAAACTCGGCTTCTTTGACTCTAATGCTAAGTGAGGGAGCTAACCCAGTACATGCTGTTCTCAAATCTTGCCTGGACTTGCCTGTGACAGCGGGATTAGACAGGGAAATATGGACAGAAGGCACCCAATGGATTTAGTGATTTAATTGTCTGAGCACTTAAAAATTCAGGATTAATGCCACTTTAAATGTGGCTGCTCCTTTCTCATTAACAGGAATCTGTTTAAAATAATTCACTTGAATAAAGACCTAATGGAAGCTCAGAAGAATGTCTTTGCTTGACTCATCCTCCTCCTCTTTCCCCTCTCTAGCCAGGCCCTGTCCCCTGACCGATTTGGTCTTAACGTACAGAACCTCTAATCTGAAATCGGCTTTTCCCACTCAGCTCTCCATTTGTGCTTGAAGTAATTTGCAATGGCCACTATCTGCATCTTGTTCTCAGACGTGTCTTGGTCAATTAGTGCAATGTCACAGCCGTGTGTGTTAGCCTAACTCCAGCTGAGAGCTGTTAATAATAAACTTACCCACAGGACAATCATGCCATATGGTTAATGGTCAATCAAGACTAAAATTTGCATTAGGAAAAAAAAAATGCTCCTGTCAACAGTGAGGGGGTGTAGGTCATTGGTTAAGGATGCTGGCTCGTTAAGAACCAAGTTCAGGTTAATAGTGTACGCCCGGCATCCTTACCTTGCTCCGACCCTATGATATTTGTCTTGAGACACAGAGGCACGATAACTAAAATGACACAGCTGGAATCCGAAGACAAGTGGACAAAACATGGTGAGATGCATCATACAGGTTGGGGAATAGGGATTTGTTGAGAAGAAACATAGCTCAGATTCTTTCCTAGGGAAAGGAGACAGATCTGCATTTTGGTCATGGGAAATGATTTGTATGCTACAAGAAAAATTCTATTTAATGGGGGTTTTGAGGCAAATAAAAACAAACTGATCTGTGGCCAACGAGTAACGGAGGAGCAATAACCCACTTGGGTGATTCCAATTAACTTCCTCCACTGGACTGAAGGGCTTAAGGTTATTTGGGTTTGGTTTTGAGTTTGGGGTTTGGGGCAGGCTGTGGGGAGGGGATGTGGAGGCCCTTGGCACATAGCTTAACCTTGACTTGTGTTCCTAGCAATAGCCAAAGCGAATGGCAATGCCAATAAAGTAGATACTTGTTTCAATGGCAAAAACTAGTGCTTATATATCTCTATGTCAGTTTCACCAGAAATGGCGAAGAACCAGGGGAGAATGGTGTTCCCTAAGTAAATAGCCATGCCAATTGTTTCATTCAGTTGTGCTTTTTAGACTGTGTGCTTGTATGTTCACATGGCAGGTTCTTCTTCTTTTTTTTTTTTTTTAAGATTTTATTTATTCATTTGAGACACAGAGATACAGAGAGAGAGAGAGAGAGAAAGAAAGCATGAGCAGGGAGAGAGGCAGAGGGAGAGGGAGAAGCAGGCCCCTCGCTGAGCCAGGAGCCCGATATGGGGCTCGATCCCAGGACCCCGGGATCATGACCCGAGCCGAAGGCAGACGCTTAACCATCTGAGCCACCCAGGCGCCCCTACATGGCAGGTTCTTAATATAAGATCATGAATAGCTCTTGATAATACACAAAGGACCAGACCCTGAACAGTGTCCAATCTCTACACCACAGCAGTTTCTAGTCAACATTTTTAAACTGGAAAGCCAGGTTAAATCAGGTCAAAGTTTCCTTTGAATTTAAGCACTCCCCCACCCCCTCCTAAGAAAGAGCGTCCTTTTTCCTCCCCTACTTTCTTTTATCTTCTTTTTTCTTCTCCTGGTCAAGGAGTGAAATGATTCCATTCCTGCTGAGGCTTCGTTTCGATAAAAAGGAGGAAGTATTTTTCCCCACTAAAAAGACGTTTTCATTGCCATTCAAAGGGTAGTCATGAAATAAAGTCTTATTAAAAGCCAGGAGTCCTATTTACTTGCTGTGGAGCCTGACTTGATTGCTAATGATTAGACTAGGGGGTCATCTTCCCTGAGGGAGTGCCCCCTTTGGGGGGAGCATTACTTGTGATGACACTTTTGTCTTTGAGAAGGCAAACGCTTCACTTCTCCTTCCTCCATGGAACTCCAGGGAAGACTGCCCTGTCAGGGGACGAACACGCACATGTACACGCACGTGCACACGCTTCTCTTGCCCAGTTACTTGATTGCTAAGGGGTGACTGACTTTCCAGTCATTCTGAGGCTGTTTCACTAGCTCAGCATTTCTCAACTAGGATCGATTTTGCCCTCAGCAGACGTTTGGCAATATCCGAAGATGTTTTTTGTTGTTAGAACTTAGAGAGAGGAGGGATGCCTCTAGTGTCCAACAGATGGAAATCAGTGATGCTGCTGAACATCCCACAATGGACAGGACACACCCCTCTCGCACCCCAAATCCTCTAGCCCAAAATGTCAAGAGTGCCAAGGTTGAGAAATACTGCACTGACTTGATCAACTTAATTTGAGGTGATAGGTAGATCTATGGATTTAGGTTCAGAATGAAAGCAATGAGACAAAGGGCTACTGAATTTCTCATTCATCATCCCCACTTCACCCACCAAAGAGCTGTGCCTGATTCACCCCAACTCCACCTAAGCCAGTTTTCTCGGTGATGTTGGAAACCAGGGGTCAGCCAACTACCACCCAATGGGCTGCGACTGGTTTTTACATTTTTAAATGGTTGATAAAAATTAGAAAGAATAATATTTTGTCCCATGTGAGAATGATATGAAATTTACATTTCAATGCACAATTATCCCCATTTGTTTGCATATTGTCCGTAGCTCCTTTTATAATAGGGCAGCAGAGTAATTGCAACAGACTCTATGGCCCCCAAAGCCTAAAATATTTACTATCTGGCCCTCCCCAGAAAAGGTCTGCTGACCCATACTCTAAAACCTAAGACCAATTATGTGACCTGCACAGCAGACTCAATAATTCCTTGGAGGTAACAGATCCCATGAGTGACTGGGTTATGTGCATAATAACATGGCATTATTTCTACAGATAATACTCTCAGACCTCGTCAGATTGCTAGGAGACCACTTCAATACAAGTTATTTGTTTTCCTAATTTTCCCACTCATTATAACTTTCTCACTCCCGATAAAACTTTCATCATGTGGCTTTCATCTCAGTCCGAGTCCCCAGCTTTAGCCTGGATCTGGGGCAGGAAAGCAGTAGTAGAAGGGAGGAGGGTCTGGATAATCCTCCAAAAGGATCCTTAGCCTTAAGTAATGGAGGGAAGAGCATAGAACACTAACCACTCTCCGGATATCCCCCCAGAGATGGTTGTCCTCTTATTCTTTCAGAAATCCTTTGGGCACCCAAGAAGTGTGTTTTCCTGCAGCCCCAACAAAAATGGTGTTAGGAACACTGGCACATACCACACAGACACAAAGACATTAGGGGGGTTGTTGCTGTTTAACATCACCAATTTAATACCAAAAGGAACGCAATTCAAAAAGCCTGTCCCTAGCCTTGTGTGTGCCAAAGGGGTTAAGCACATACCCCACCACACACACACACACATACACACACACACACATTCTAGTTTGGAGACATGACATGGACACACACAGGAGAGAACCCAGAGGAGGAGAAATCAGTTCTGGATTTGGAGGTGATGATGACAATGATAAAGAGGAGGAGGAGGAGGTGGAGGAGGGCATCATCATTTACTGAGCTGTCAGGAAGTATTCCGGGCACTTTACATAGATCCGCACAGCAATCTTCAATGTTGATAGACCCATTTTACAGATGGGAAAACTGAACTCCAAGAAGTAACTTGCCTAAGGGCAGAGAGCTAGGAAAGCTGTGGAGCTAGGATTTAAACCACATCCATCTGATTGTTCTTTTCTCTGTGTTGAGGGGATGCTTCATTAAAGAGGCAGGACATGAAGGAGACTGGAAAGGTGAGTAAGATTCAGATTGCCAGACCTGAGGGAAGAAGACATTCTAACTAGGATAAAGAGGTGAGGATAAAAGAACAGATGCTGGGGGGCGCCTGGGTGGCTCAGTCGTTAAGCGTCTGCCTTCGGCTCAGGTCATGATCCCAGGGTCCTGGGATTGAGCCCCGCATCGGGCTCCCTGCTCGCCGGGAAGCCTGCTTCTCCCTCTCCCACTCCCCCTGCTTGTGTTCCCTCTCTCGCTGTGTCTCTCTCTGTCAAATAAATAAATAAAAATCTTAAAAAAAAAAAAAAAAGAACAGATGTTGGAATGGGTATGTTATTCAGAGCTTGAATAGAGGGATCTTGTAGGTTTACAGAGTTTACACGGGGCAGATACTGCAGGCAAGTGATTGGACCCAAATGTTGCCAAATGCAATCACTTTTAGGAATACATGTTGCAAAGACTTGACCTTTAATATTGAACCCATGTGAAGGGAATGTTCCATGGTAAAAAGTTTACTGTTATAATATTTTATTCATAACAGCCAAAACTTGCAAGCAAGCAACCAAGAATGTCCCTCAATAGGTAAATGGGTAAACTGGTACATCCAGAAAATGGAATATCATTCAACACTAAAGAGAAATGAGCTATCAAGCCACCAAAGGACGTGGAGGACCCTTAAATGCATATTGCCAAGTAAAAGAAGCCCATCTGCAAGGCTACATGCAGTATGATTCCAGCTATATGACATTTTGGAAAAGGCAAAACTATGGCGACAGAAAAAGTTTAGTGGTTGCTGGGGTTTGGGGAAGAGGGAGGGAGGGATGAATAGGTGGAGCGCAAGGGATCTTTAGGGCAGTGAAGCTATGCTGTATGATATTATAATGGTGGATACATGTCACTATACATCTGTCAAAATCCATAGAATGTACAACACAAAGAGTGAACCCTAATATAAACTATGGACTTTAGTTAACAATAACATCAATACTGGGACGCCTGGGTGGCTCAGTCAGTTAAGCGTCTGCCTTCGGCTCAGGGCATGATCCCGGGGGTTCCTGGGATCGAGTCCCGCCTCGGGCTCCTTGCTCAGCAGGGAGCCTGCTTCTCCCTCTGCCTGCCGCTCCCCCTGCTTGTGCTGGCTCCCTCTTTCTGACAAATAAATAAATAAAATCTTTAAAAAAATAACATATCAATACTGACTCATCAATTGTAATAAATGTTCCACACTAAGGCGAGATGGTATTTTTAAAATTGGGGAAATTGGAGGTGGGTCGAAGAGAGGCCATATGGGAATTCTCTGTAATTGTTCTTTAATCTTCTTCTGTAAACCTTAAAACTACTTAAAAACAAAACCAAAAAAATTATTGGACCAGATCCAGATTCTAGACTGGCTCTGTCCCTAACCAGCTCTTAGAGCACACCGTAGCCTCTCTGGGTCTTCCAGGTCGATAGCCCACCATCATGAGACATTCCACGACTCGGACAGAACGTCCATTGGCCCAACATTCTCCCTTTGTTGAAGGGTGGAAGAGAGACCCAAGGCGCTTGGGCCTCAGGGCCATAAATGTCAGCCCTGCGTGGGTTTGGACGTTTGCAGCAGGGGATCGAGATCCATGACATCACTTCCGTCTTGGGCGTGATGTCATTTGCATGTGAGGGCCCCAAGTACCAACGTGCTTGTGGTTGTGGCTGGTGTTTGTTTAGGATAGTTACTCATTCTCAACCTCTTCAAATACTGTCACAGCGTGTTTTTCAGCACGAAGTATTTTGCAGCGTGAGAGAAATTGGCATCCACAAAATGTGTTTAAAGGAGTAGATGTGAGAATTAAAATGTCTTCCTTCTACACCCTGTTTCTGAGCTTATGTGCTGAGCTGCCTGACAGAAAGTTGGCCTCAGCCTGCCCACCCACCCCCCACCCCCTGCTGCCATGTAAATGACAGGGTGACTGGCCGGACAGATGTGCTAATATTTACAGGCAGAGCAGGCCTCTGTGTCAATGAATCTCCATTCACCTCATTTTACAGTTTCTTCCCTGCCCGCTTCATAGAGCTGCCTCAGAGGAAGGGAAGGTCTGAGCTTACATCCGTGGTCTGCTCTTACCTCAGCCCCTCAAAAGTCACAATGACACTGAGCAGGTTTCAGCAGGTCCAGTATACACACAATCCTGTCAGAATATTGCTCATGAAGAAGCGAAATGTAAATGCCAAGTAAGATGGCTAATTTCATTTTATATAAAAACGTATGTTGGAAATACACATCATTTTTAGATTGCACCCAGTTGTTTTTCTGCATGCAAATGTACTTTCATTTTAACAGTTTGGGAAGAAAAAATAGTATCACTAATTT